TGAACATTTTACCTAGCATCGCAGGGGAGCATTGCGTGAGCTGGATGGTGATGCCATCCTGGTCGATCCACTCAGTGGCTGACACAGGCTTCCACCTTACGCGAGCGAGGCAAAGCGGGATCCTGGAGACCGGTCCGCGGGTTTGGGCCCAGGACACATCCGACTGAGCCTGGGAAAAAACGCGGCCCCACATACGTTCTAATTCAGTTAGGCCTACGAGTGCATCAGACGGGAAAGCCACAGCTTGCCATATCATCTTAGACCACTGGAGTGCGGGTGCCATGGCCTCACGCGCCGCTGGCTCACCGTGCAGGGCCAGCTTGGCGCGCAAGCTCGCACCCCTCGTCGCGGGCGCCAGGTAGGACAAGGCCTGGCGACGGATGGCGAGCAGCTCCTGGTCGTCGACGCCGTTGACCTCGACCCCGTAGTGAGCTGCCATCCTGATTCCAATGGTGTAGACCCTTCCGAGCCTCACGTCGGCCTTCCTCATGGACTTGAGCTTGGCCGCCTTGGCCAGGCGCTGGGAGGACTTCCTCAAACGCATCTTCCTATTGCCAGCAGTGCGGGCTTGCGCCCGCCGCCGTCCGCAGGCGAAGTCCGTGCCGAGGTAGGCGACCGCTGGCTTGGACTTATCTCTGGCGAGGCCGAGCTTCGTGGTCACCTCCATGCCAAGGGCACTGTCACTGGCCACGACGGCGACCTTATCGTTGAGAGTGGCCTGGAGTCGTCTCGAAACTGCTTGGAACTGCACACCCGCTTGGATCGCGATTCCTTTCAACGACGTCACGGTCGCGGCCACTCACGTGAACCCCAGTGTCGCCAATGTAGCTCATGAAATCGATCGACGAATTGCGGCGCACAAACTGGTCGTACTCTGTGATCGTGAAAGCTCGAACCGCAACATCAGCAAATGCACAGCCTGCTGGTAGCCCGAAAGTGGCGAACAAGACTGTGCAACTGTGGTGCAGGCCCAGGCGAATGATACGCGGTGGCTGCCACGTGTTGAAAAGTAACTTGAGAATCGGCATGGGCATGCCGCAGGCAAGGAGGCGTCCACGTAATACCTCCAGCGGGATGCCCTCGTAGAACTTGCTGTAGTCCATCAGAATCAAAAGGCTATAATTGTTCTGGCTGACCTCAGCCTCACTGCGCGCAGCCTGCAGCCAAGACAGATCGAGTGCACTACGGCCTGCCAAGGCGCCCCAGCACGGGCGGCGCAGCTGCTGGTGAAGGCCATCGAGGTCACGGCGACGAAGCCTCTGCCAGACACGCTACATGCCCGAGTACAATATTATCAGTCGGTGGCCCGGGCCAGGCTTAGCAAGCATGGGCATGACAATGAAGCATAACTGGCGAGGCAATAGACCAATCCGTTCGCACGCCTCGAACAGCGCTGCCATGGCGTCGAGCGCAGCGCGAGGAAGTAGCCCAAAATGACGAGGATGCACTCGATCAAGACTGGCCGTTGTGGTGCGCGGGAAACTGTTGGCCACATCGCGGATAATGTCCGCGCTGGCCCTGTCCATAGCCGACCTGTCAGGCGTCCAGGCTTGGCTCGGGACCTGGCTAGCATGCCAAAGCTTCTCATGCTTGCGAACCTCGGCCTCGACGATATCATGAGGATGTGCCGTAAGCCCTCCAGCAGTACGAACTACCGTAGGGTGAGGTGCATTGGGAACTCGGGTAGCGCGGTGAAGTCCTCGCGCACCATTGGACGATGCCGCGTCGCACCAGTCCTGCCACCGTTGGCGATCATCCTTAACTTCATCCAGCTCGGCCTTCCGTGCATCAGCTCCAATGTCTCGACGGCGCTGCTCAAGAATTTCAGCAGCTCGATGGCTGTCACGGCGGGTCCGAGGGGCGACGCAGGTCTCGAAATCATCGTCCTGAGACACGGTTCCAGTCTGGTCCCCGAGCTGCGCATTGATGCCAAAGAAATCGTCCTGGTCGATGTCAGGCTCGTCAAACTGATCAGGAAACAGGCCATCAACTCGCAATCCTTCCTGGCCTGAGGGGCCAACCGCGGCAGCGGCCGCAGGGGCCACTTCAGAGCGTAAATGTGATGTGGACGGTGCTGGTGGCGGGCCCTGGGCTCCAGCTGCACGAAGTAAGGCATTACCAACAGCGACTCGCGCCTCAAGAACACTGGCATCCAAACGTGCGCATAGACCCTGCCAGAAATACTCAGCGGTCGAAAACACAGCCACCTCGGATTCCAGGCAAGGTACCGCAGCGTGCTTGAGCCCCATGAGCTTGCACAAGTTGTCCAGGGACTGCGTTAACCAAGTCCAGCCGCGAGAGATCGCCTTGGCTTCAACAACTGTCTCGGGGCGGTGATTGTAGTCAACCCATCTGGCTTTGGGCGGCGCTCCCCACGAAGCGCTGCTGGACGCACACTGGCCAGCGACTGCGCTGACCTCCTTCTCGGCGGCATGGGCGAAGGTAGCCCACGCTCGCGACAAAATGCACCATGCTTCACGAACAGGCTTCTGGCGACGAGCATCGACGGCCGCCTCAGCCATCGCAGCGGGGTGCTGCCAGCCAGAGCCTCCTCGTGCAGGACCAATAAAACGTTCGGTCCCATACTTCTTTGCCACAGTGTATACCATGCACTGCTGCCTTTAGGCCTTCCGTAGAGAGACCCAGTGAAATAGGACGGTGAGGTCGCTTCGGCCATGAGGCGTCCACGTGGACGGACTCGAGCAACCTCTTGGCAACAGTGTTGACAGCAAAGAAATCAATCGCACGGCTAGACTTGGGTGTAATGCATGTGGGCAGGGACGGGGCCACAAGTACCATCTTGGCTACTCTCGGGAAGCCTGACTCCTGAATGTCCCTCGGCGTAGCATTGCAGTCTCCAACAAGGACGACGGGGTCGGCAATCTCGAAGACCCGCGTGCCGATCTGAGCCAGGATACGCGCATTCCTGCCCTTGATGCCCTGGTTGACCACCAGGTAGAAACAGACGATGCGCAACGGTGGCCATCCAGGAAGGTACACAACAGCGCGCAGCGCGCGGCGATGGTGAAGGACAGCGCGGGCGCAACCTGGTCCCCGAAGTCCAACGTGATCCCTAGCAAGTACAGCAACACCCTGCGTGGGCGTTGTTCCCTTGGACTTGGCGCCAGGGCTGGCACGACACTTCCACCCACGACGACCTGCCCAGGCAACAAAATCATCATTATCATCATCATGGAATCCAACTTCCTGCGCGACGAAGATAGTCGCTGACGAAGCCTGTATCTTTTCCTTCAGCGTACGGATGCCACGGTTGGCGTTGAAAGACTCCACGAAGAACTGGCTTCTAGGGTCAGCATTCGGTGGTGGCCGAACTTGGCCGTGATGAACAGGCATGCTGCTGACGAATACAGGCATATCAAAGACGCTGCCGTTTGTCTCGGTGCATGGCCAGCAGCTTGTCATGGAACTTCTGCATGAGGTCTTCGTTGCTGTTAGCAGGGTTGCCCCCTTTGACGAGCTCGAACAATTCCTTTGACTCCTCGAAAGTGGGGTCGAGGTCACGCTTGACGCCGCCGCCAGGGGAGTCATCATCACCAGGAGTAGGAGTCTCATCAGGACTCTCAGCGGGCTGCTGTGGCATGGGGGCGTCCGCTGGCTCGGGTGCGGTTGCCTTCCGCACCTGGCCCTCGAGGTCCGCGAACAACTTGGCAGTGGTCTCCGCTCCGATGGACTCGAGGGCGGTGCGGATCTCCTCGGGGAGCCCATCCTTGTCGAACTTGAACTCAGGGAAGAGGGACCGCTCTGGGGCGACGGCCTTGGCGGTCTCAGCGAACGACTTCTTATAGCCGTCGATACCCGCCTCCTTGGAAGTAATTGCGGCCCTCTTGTACTCCAGAGCAGCCTGGAGATCATGAACTTGCTTGGACATCTTCTCAGCCTCGCGCTGGAGCTTGACCAGCTGCGACTGCGCATTCTTGAGCTTATCCTGGGCCCTGCGATGGGCAGCCTCAGGAGACTGGACACTCTCGAGCTGCACGCGGAGGGTCTCAATCTCAAGCTGGTGCGCCTGCTTGACATTAGGCGGCAGCGACGGCTCCTTGAGGTACTTTTCATAGAGAGAGATCGACGAGAGAATCTCTGCACGGGTAGCTCCTGCATCCTTCGGCCTCTCAGCACCTGTACCCTGGTCGGGCGTCGGGTCCTTGAGGCTGGTGTTGGCCAACTTGCGCTCGAGCGCGGCCACCTGCTTGCGGAGCTCCTCGTTCTGGTCCCGTGCCCATGGCGCTGGTGTGGCTCGGCGGCCACCAAGCACGGGCTTCCTCCCTTGCGTATCCTTCTCAGCTCTCTCAGCTCTAGCGTGTGCGGTCTTGGCTGCGGCGACAATGCGAGCTGGGGCAGCGGTGCCGCAGCGGCAGCGGACTCGGCACGCCCAGTTCTTGTCTGCGCCACAACTGCATCCCCAGAACGGTGTCCTGGGCCCGCGCAGCACATCGGAGACGGGAGGCGGTGGGACCATGGGGCTCGCGAACCCTCCAGCAGGAGGACCCCTGAAAAATCGGATTGTCTGGCTCGGGAAACAGAGCTATCCAACTTTGGCACGAGGGCGCGGAAGCCCCCAAGTGCAAGCATCTTGAGCCAAAATGGCTACGGAGGAGGAGGGAGGAGGGAGGAGGGAGGAGGAGGGAGGAGGAGGAGGAGGAGGAGGAGGAGGAGGAGGAGGAGGAGGAGGACCGGGTCCTCTGGCGCCAGCGGCACCGGTGGGGCGCCCTCGACGGCCGGCAGCGCCAGGTTCAGGAGCGCCCGCACCGCGGCGGGCCGGTGCGCCGGGCCCAGCACCAGGCGGCGCAGCACGCAGGCGAAGCTGGGGATGTCCAGCCGCAGCGGCCTGCCCTGCTCCGGCCGCACGCCAGGCTGTGAGGGGGACGAGATCTGTGCACCGTCGGACCTGGGACAAGAGGGACGTCCTCCAAGAGCATGAGACCCTCCGCCGGCCAAAGCACGCAGAGCAGCCAAGGGTATATACCCTTCCCAGGATGCACAAGAACATCCAACAAACACGAAGAACACTGGTAGAGGCCTCCTAGCTGGGGTCGGATGGGGTCGGAGGATCGCGACGCATCACCGATGCATCGGCGATGCATCGGCGATGCATCGCCGACGTCGGCGGTGCATTGGCGACGTCGACGTGGAGCAAATCGGGCCCTACATCGAGCCGCACCAGCGATGCGTCGCCGATGCGGCGCAATCCTCCGACCCCCTCTACAGCTGGGCTGCTGCAAGAAGGAACGCTAAGTAAGCAACGAAACCCCTTTTGGGTCCCAGAAGCGCCCGCGTGCACGAGGAGGGCTGGAGGAACAACCACAGAATGACCCAGGGAACAGCGAGCTCCTTCCGGACCCCAAGCGATCCTTATTTCAGCGTCTTGACTGTACTCCGACCCCCTCCAGTCGGGCGTTGGCAGAACTGGGTTTAGTGGAACCTGGTTTAGTGATTTGTACCGGGGGCGCCCCCCCGCTCCATTTCCACTAACTGGAACTGCCGTCACCCGAAAAACACCAATTACGGCAAACCTGGTTTAGTGAATCTGGCCAATGGAGAGGCCCCAAGGGCCTGCCACTAACCGGGTCCCCTTACCCGGGGTCCTGGCTATACTCCCTCCAGGAGTCCTGGAATGTCAGGGCGCCCTCCCCGAGACGGGCCTCGATCTTGCAGCGCCGGTCCGTCTGCATGCGGATCCTCTGCCCTTGGCCAGGCCCATGCTGGGCCCTGGAACGGTGTGGGTGCCCCCCTGGCCAGGAGGAGGAGGAGGAGCAGTGTAAACCCAAGAAGCATCAACGATGTTGGAGTAAATCCTCCCTCCAAGCTTCATCTTGAGACCCGCCCCTACAACGGCTCATTCTTGCTGATGGAACTGCCTCGTCGGAAGACAACTGCTTGAAGACCCTGAAGCATGCCAAGACATTGTTCTCCAGATTCAAACGCATCGGATCAACTTGGCTGTTGCGTCTTGACGACCCTGAATCGTGAAAGAACGCCATTCCTGGGACTTCGACACAGCGAATCAGCATATCTTGTGCACACTCATGAGCCTGAATTCTTGTAAAATACATGTTTTGGCCGTTTGATCATGGGAACCCACGATATTGCAAATGTTTAAGACGAATGTGCGCGGCGCTAAGGCGAGAGCCACAGATTGAAAAGGAACCGCCCTCAATCCGTGCAACTCTTGCAAATATTTAAGACGAATGTGCGCGGTGGCGAGAACCACATTTTGAAAAGGAACATCTATCCATGAAACTCTTGCAATGTGTAATTCGGCGGTGGACAAACCTCCCCTTTAGTAAACCTCCATTTAGTGAAAACGGCCTGGGACCGAAACCGACGGACCTGGACCCGCAAAAATGACGGCCGCGACGCCCTCTCGCGAACCGAAAACGGCCAATTCGCTAATCGACGTGTCAGGGTAGGAGGTCTGTCCACCCCCGAGTAATACGAATGTGCGCGGCGCTATGGCGAGAACCACATGTTGAAAAGAAACCGCCCTCAATCCATGAAACTCTTGTAATGTTTGATACGCATATGCGCGGCGCTAGCGCGCGAGCCACATGTTGGAGAAAAAACACTCGCCCTCAATGCGTGAAACTCTTGCAATGTTTCAGACGAGTGTGCGCGGCGCTAAGGCGAGAGCCACATTTTTTAAACGACCCGCCCTTCATCTGAGAAAATGCTGCCATGTGTAAACATCCGAATCAGAAATGGTGAGGATGTCTCAAGCGAAACGCCCCGCCCGCCCCAAAAACTGTCCTCGGGGTGTGACAGGAAGAAGGTCTACTTAAGGAGAAAGAATGGAGGCGGAGGAGGAGGAGGAGGAGAAGAAGGGGGAGGGAAAGGAGGAGAAGGAGGAGGAAAAGGAGGATTAGGAGGAGGAGGGAAAGGGTGGGTGGGGCAGGGGGAGGAGGTGGAGGAGGTGGAGGAGGCGGAGGCGGAGGAGGAGAGGGCGGAGGAGGCGGGGGAGGAGGCGGAGGAGGCGGAGAAAGAGGGGAGGAGGAGGCGGAGGAGGCGGAGGAGGAGGAGGCGGAGGAGGAGGAGGCGGAGGAGGAGGGTGGGCCTGGCCGGGGGGCAATGGCCCTGGAGGAGAAGATCCCGTCGCCCGCTCCGCGTCGGCGGGCCGCTCGCCGCCACCGCGCGCCTGGCCGCAGAGCGCCTCGAGGGCCCCCACCAGCCCGACGCTGCCCTCCGCGGCGCCCAGCTCCAGCGCGCGGGCCAGCAGCGCGGCCTGCTGGCCGTCGCTCGGCCTTCCCCTCCCCCCGTGCATTCTGTTCGAGGTCGTGCGTGTTTTTGTGTTTCGCGAGATGGCGCCGGATGCTCCTCGAGGCCCCGCGCCGAGGAGACATGCACAGGTCCGGGGACGATGCCGAGCCTGGCGGCGGTGCAGGTCGCCCCACGAGACGGCGCGGCCGCCGCCGTCGAACAGCGGCTCGCCCGGTCCGCGGGGCGCGGCCTCCGCGGCCTCGCGCAGCAGCAGCACCGCTCCGGAGC